ATATTTGTGTCAGTGTAAATTACTTGTACCTGATGATTACAAAACTTTGTCGAAACATTGTACAGTTGCTGTTATGTTAAACTTATATTAAAGTTTTTCTTCATTACCCATTCAAGCTGTCTCCAGCCATTATTATTATTACTAGCATTATTTACTAACTGAGAGTAACTGTGAATGATACTTATCACAACTATGACATTACGTGAACACAATAGATAATGAAATCAGTAGTTTAAAAGTTATTGATGTAATTCAAATAAAAGAGTTCTTAACTTAATGTCTTTATGCACCATGTATGACATTGAGCAATTTATGAATAATATAATTTGGTAGCTTATCAATTCATTGTTAGTTGTTATTAAAGTGACCACAGTTACACTAAACTACCATTGAGGAACAAAAAAAAGCCTGTACTAGAGTGAAAGAACTTTTTATACATTTGAGACTTGTGTGTTTTTACTAGGTTTTAAAGTAATTTAAATGTGAGTAAATACAATCAGGTAATAGAAAGGGTTTCAGAGTAAAACTTCATATATATATATATATATATATATTATTTTTTTTTTGAACCACAAAATATCCTTTTTTCCAGCTGGAATATCTAACTCAAGGATTCTTAAAAAAAAAAGAATAAATTATATAAGTACACAGAGCATGCATAACTATATTGTTGTTAATGAGAATTATAAAAAAAAACAAGAATGATACAAAAACAGGTTTTAGAAGATTATATAGTACTAGCAGAAATGCCAACCTGCAGATGGCTGTTTGTGCTAGTAATTACTAAACGTAGTATTCATCAAACAAAAATTTAAGCTTAATTGTAAACTCACAATAACTTCTGATTGGTAGTTAAACCTCTCAATTAACTAGTATGAGTTATTCATTCATATTTGTTAAAATTGCTCTTGAAAGTAAAAATACAAAAAAAACAGTATAGTTAGAACAGGATTTTACTGATAATGAATAACAAATAAATCCTATTATATACTTAGTCTTTGACTCCATAGAATTTGCTGAATAAGTTATGTTTCAGAAACACTACTTATCTTTCTGAAACAAAAAGTGCTATTACCTTGCATACACTGCCATGTAAATTTCTGCACAGATCACAAGCCTTGTACAAAGTTACCAACTCTAGAAGTATCAGTGTGTATTGTGCCAGTCTATGATGTAATCATCATTAGACTATAACTCTCTACCATAGGAGGATGACACATTCTCCATGTGCAATAGTTCTACTGAGAACTAGCACGTGAACACAGGTTCACTCTTTTCTCAGCACTACTTGTCTTCAGGCATGTTTCTTTTACATAAGATTTACCAAAGTTTTTGTGCTTCTTGTTTAACCTTTCGTTACTATTTGTCAAGTAGTCTTTCTTTCCTTATTTTTCTTAATTACATGACAGAACAATACTAAATTTTGAGCTTATCATTTAGAACTTTAATATGATTTTCTTGTAATTGACCTCATACTTTTGGGACACATCCAGCTGCCTGTTCCCATTGTTTAATCCAACATATGGGTTTTGTCCAGTACTCTTCAAGGTTGTCATTAGGCCTATGCACCATCACCATATTGGGCTCATTTTCATTCTAATTAATAATAAAAACAAATTCCATGTTTTATATATATTACATTAACAGACCATCACAACATCAATTTCCTGGAGTAAATGATTCCCAGTCTCCTGTTTTTGTTACTTCAGCTGAATCTTTAACTTTTCATTTCTTCTTCCTGATGTAAATCAGGTAATTCCACTTTTGTTGTTCAATGCTTGGATTCCATAGGTATGTGTAGTTTTCTCTTTCTTCATTTTTTTTACTGAATCTCATACTCACTTACTGCATCATCCTCCAGTTTAGGGATCTCCTCTTTTTCCTTACATTTCAATTTTTTCCATATACTCATCTTCATATCTTATTCAATGGCTTTGGTCATTCTAATGCTTCATCTTCATTTAGAGGCTATACATCACAACTCTGTCAGCATTACTGGAGCAACTTCCACATACCTGTTTTCCATTTCGCCCTCACTTTTCTTCCATTTACCCCATATACTATGATTTCTTTGTTTCTGGAGTGTCTTTTTCTCAGTTTTCCTTTCTGACTTCTGCCTACTATAATTTCCTCCCCAAGATGTCTGTCTTACACCTTTTCTTTGTGATGTACTTTTTTTAGTGGTATTTCTGATATGTTAGCATCTTGAGTTGATGCAGCTCTTCAGCAATCATCTCTACTCATTTTGGTTTCTTGCCCTTGGGATCATGTACCCCACCTTATATGGTCACCCCTCTTCTGTTCCCTATCCTCTTGTTACTATCCACAATCCCTACCTCTTTGCTAAATGGCTGTCATAAGTCTTGGAGGTGATTCATTTATTGAGCCACCCTTCAGCTCCAGTTCTTTGGAAGCCCTGCTTTCCAAATTTGTGCACTAGTAAAGTTCCTTTGTTACAGTTTACTGGATTTCTCTTGTACTTTCTTAGGGATTTTTCTTTTACTTCTACTCTTCACTTCATCTGTTTCAAATACCTTTTTATTATTTACATGAAGATGGTAAGTAATGCCAAATATCAGTTTGTCTCACTTGATCCAACTTTGGTATTTTGATTGTTCCTGCTGGGATAATGAATTTGAGGTCTCAGGCACTTTCTCCACATTCCAATTTTTCTACTTGCCTCTCACTCCCTTTGGTCAAACATTTGGTTCTGGTGAGTTTTTCCTTGGAGGTTACATGCTTGAGGCCTATTATTCCAATACTCTGTGGATGTTTTACTTCTACTTGCCCCTTCCAGTGTGACTTTCTCTGTTGCGACCTCCCTTCTCCACTGAAAGTCATCTTGTTTAGGATGTCTGGTTCAGCTTCCTATTTCACTCTCAACCCACGCCTTGTATTCTCTTCATTATGGAGTCCCCCTCACTTTTTGTGTGGGGAAGGCTCAGCCTATTTCTTTGACTTTGTGACATGAAGATTTTGATTTCTGGACTCTCATGTCTCCTTCATATCCTGCATGAGGCTTTTTGAGGCATTCTCTTCTCTCTTGAATCTCGCATTCCTCTAAGATGTGCCCATACATGTCCTCTTCTGTGGTTTCTGGCCTGTCAATACTGTCTCATTTTCAACCTTTTACAGTTGTGGAGGCTTACTTGATCCCACATGATCCTGGAAATCCTGTTTCTCTTGTTACCCAGACTTGCATCTGTTTGGAGCCCTCTAGAGCTTGGAAGTCAGTCTGTGGGCTCCCTCTGCTCACATTTTTGGGTATCCATATCTGTGGTGAGCTTATCACAAGTAGCACTTAGTGTTGGCTTTGTGCTTGACAACAGCCAATCCTACAACCACACCTTTCCACTACAAGTGGGTTGTAGTTCTGTATAAATAATCCATTTGTGACATCTGATATATAGGGTTGAGATTTCTTTGTCTCTACATCTGGTGACTACTTGCAGGCTTACCATCATCTTTTGCCATGTTCTTATAATAATTGATTCAGAAACCTCTATTGTTTCTTCCTTCCTTGGACAGAGAGGCACTTGCTCCCAAGAACTTCTGTTTTTCTGGCTCTGGACTTTGTCTTTTGACCCATGACCAGAACATTCAGTCGTTGATCTATCATGTCTTAAAATCTCAGGCCCTGGTGTGAGATCTACTACCTTGCAATCTGGACCCTTTTTTCTCCATTCTCTGATAATTTCAGTGAATTTTCTCCTATTATGGACATCCTATCATCAGTGCCTTTCCATCTCCCCTTCATTCCTCACTTATTTAGTCTCCAGTTCCAGTCTCTACAGACCTTTGACATCCCTAGTTTGAGATCTTGCAGGCGAAAATATGGTTTACCCCCAGCACTATGTTATGGAGATTATGGAACCCATCAAGTGACCTGCATTACCTCACAGGGAATGATTGCCCAAAATCTGCATTGAGATAGGGTTTTCACAAGAGTGCTTCTCAGTGTCTGTCCATATTATATCTTCCAGGCCATTCTGCATTTGACAAGAAAAAACAGTACCAGATGTATGCCTGCCCTCCCACCTGGTTTGCATTTACTTTCTTTAGTCACAGTAATCTTTTGCACTGTTTCTCAGTGTGGAACCTAATTCCAGATGATTGTAGCTATTGGTAATAATCCACAAAAATTCCTCCTCCCCCAACTTCTTCTAGTGGACTACAGGAGAACCCTTGCTTCTCTATTCCCATGCCGTTAGGGCAGTTCCTCATTGGGCATTGCAGTGGTTAGATCCACGTGGATGAGTCTTGAGTTTGCCTCAGGAAAAAGGTCTGGGATGGTACTCCTTGCACCTGATTTTTGTGGTATCTTACATAAGTTTTTCTCCAAACTTTAGCAGCCTGATTTGTCATCTTAGCCACACTATATACTCGTGCTCAGCTGTCTGCCATTCTACCCATGCTAGTAACATACTATCATCCAGTAAAGGATTCTTATGACAATATCTTTTGCTCTACTACCTATATTGAGCAAAGGGAACTGCTTGAAATGGATGTGGTCTACCATATTGCTTTGTGGATATCACACTCCATGGGTTTTCTTTTTCTGATACTGTTTCCTTATCTGAAAATAGATTACAGATAGATACTCACCTTTCTGCACCACCTCACATCTTTACTACTTTACTAAATTTTCAGGTAAGGAAAATGCTAACTTAATAAACATTTTAAAAATCCTGTTGAAAGGTGGTTTGCAATTAAACTTACTGAAATGATAATAAAAACTTCAAAACCTACTTGGTTAAACAGAAATTTATAATAAATAACTGTGATTATACATGATGTCTTTAGGTTTGAAATTATTTCTAGAATGATTTAAATGATAAAATGCCAAAAATAGTCACTGTTGTTATAAAAAAAAAACTAGCTAATAAAATATTAATATTTACTAATTTCAGATCATATGTAGATTCTATGTCACTATTTGAACTTGTATCATAATATGCTTAAGTAGAGGTAATAAATGCACTTTGAATATTGTTTACAAAATCATGATTTACAGCACTGTATTTGCTTTGTAATATATAGTACAAGTCAAATGTTTTTACCTGCATCAAAACATAAAATGATTATTGTTTTTTCTTAGGAACTAAACAGCCCCAAGTGTACTAATGGGAATGGTACATATGAATGTGGCATTTGTAATTGTTACAATGGCCGAACAGGAAGAGAGTGTGAATGTGACTCTCAAAATATAGATGAAACTCTGCATGAGAAACAGTGTTACCTGTATGTATCTAATGCCTTTGTTTCTTGGTCATTTAAGTGTATCCATTATACAATCAGTGGTTATATCAGTTTTGACTATGAATAATACTAATACTAGATACAGTAATGATGAGAAGAAAACATTTAGTTCTCCAATAGATACATTATTCACTAGAAGTTAATATTTCAGTAGGTAGAGCATTGATTACAAGACAAGGTTTATCTTGTTCAGTAAACATGACTAGAAGATGATACTTATTTTTCAGACATAGTAGTGACTAGAAGTGAATATTTCAGTAGGTAGAGCATTGATTACAAGACAAGGTTTATCTTGTTCAGTAAACATGACTAGAAGATGATACTTATTTTTCAGACATAGTAGTGACTAGAAGTGAATATTTTTTAATGGAATGTTTATTTTTTAGTAGATAAGTGTTTGATAGAAGAGAAGGTCTGTTTGTTATCACATAAGTCTGCTCATACATGTGAACATCTTTTAAATTATGAAATAATAGTCATTCACTTGAAAAGTGCATGAAGATTCATTAAAAGTGGTTTTAAAATTGAGAATGAATTTATGTTTTCAAGTTGCAGGAATATTTTTTTACATTATTTTAGTTAAAATACATTCATTACAGGACACTTGTTTTCCTTTCTGACTCAAATGTACTGTATTTTGTATTCATTATATCAATTTGATCCTCACTTTATTTTGATCATTTATCCATCTAGTACCAAAAAAGAAATATTCTGTAATTTGCTTTATCAAGAAGTTAATTTAGTAATTTATTTTCTTTAAATACAGTGACAACAGCACTGAACCATGCTCTGGTAAAGGGAAATGCCAATGTGGAACTTGTATTTGTGATACGAGGCTGGTTAGTGTTTTATGTTTGATTAAACATCTGCTTATTATTATTTTTTTTACTTATTTATGCACAAGTCATAATATTGCTTTTTGGTTTGCTGTAAGATTTTAAAGTTTTAAGATTCTGAAGAGATCAATCCATTTTTAGATAGATAAATGCCATAAAATATTGCTGGAAAAATTTTTTATCATTATCATTATTACCTTAGTTATAAATTTGTTGTATATATAATCCTATATCTTAGTTGGTGCAGCCACTTCACACACTTACATTTGCCAGCAATTTCTCCACTAATAATGTAATTGTTTATCAGTTATAATTAATCATACCTAGCTTTTGAACATTAAAAACAATTCAGCAAAGTGATTATAAATAAACAATAGTGACAGACACGGACATAACATTAACAATTATATTATTAGTGGAGAAGCTGCAGACAAATGTAAGTGTGTGAAGTGGCTGCATGATATTGTGGTTGCTGCACCAGTATCTGTTTTTGTGATAGTTTTGATCACAGATTAATAAAGTTTTATAACTATTGCAATTATTTTCTATTTTAGAAATGTTTTTATGTATTTACATTATTTTATCTTATAGAACCCAGCTGAGAAGATCAGAGGGAAATACTGTGAATGTGATAATTTCTCCTGTGACAGAGTTGAAGGAAACATTTGTAGTGGTTGGTATTGAAATTACTGAAGTTCAAAGCAAACAACATGTACATAGAAAGATTCAGTTTGTTTTGTATACTTGTTTTTGCTTACATAGTATACTGCCTCATTGTTGCAAATAGACAAAAAAAACTTAAATGTACTGAACTTTATCTTCTGGTATGTAGATGTTGACTTGAAATTTTAGGAATCTTCAAATGTGTTTCATATAATTTGTTGGAAATATTGTAGTAAAGATATGTGAATACATTATATATGTTTTCAGTTTCAAAATTCATTAATGGAATTTTTTGTATTATTTTATAATATTATATTGTTATTTCCCATTTTCTTATTAAAAAAAGATGTAAATCTTTAAAGTTTTAATGTGCAAAACTTGCTTTGAAGGATTGTTTAGGAATGCTTTATTAATGATATATGTGAACAAACTTTTCTTAATGTTCTATTTATTGAAGAAGAAGAACTGCAAGTTTTAATATTTAATTATTGCTTCTAAAACTCAATTTTTATTCACTTTCTAATTTTAATACTTGACTAGTGTGATACACTTAACATTTTTAACTAAATATTTAAAAAATGAACTATTTTATTATAAATAAACTGAAACAAATGTAAACAATGATATTAACCACAGAAACTGCCATAAATATCAAAGCCTGAACACAAGCTTAGATGTATGATACATGCATACACATTTCTTCCCAAACATTCATGGTAAAAATCAAAACAGTTTATCTGTAAACAGGTATTACAGGGTTGGTCCAAATAAATTATAAGATGGATAATTTTCTTTACCAGGGTTTTCTTTGAGTTTAATTTTTGGCCACATTGAATTTCTTTTCAGTCACAATTTTTTAAGTTAATTTTATATGTTGATGAATTTTAAATTAAAGTAGAAATAATAATTCTAACTCTATTTCAACTATTTTTAAGCCAGAAATTTTTAAAGTATATATTTTGTAATATTTATTTAGTATAATTCACAAACAAAAATGTGTTTTCATTTCCATGCAGCTCCAATGAGTTTGTCCCTCATTGGCACAGCAGTATATCTACGGACTTACAACACTAGAAACTTGTGGTGGGCAGAGCACAGATAGCCCTTTGTGCTTAACTACAAACAAACAAAACCAATGAGTTTGGCCTCTAAACAATGTACATGTTTTTCTGCACATCCTATAGAATAACTTTAAATTTGCTAAGAAAATATCACCCCTTGAGAGTGTAGTATCCATTTCTTAATTTTCAAGCAATTCCCTTGTTTTTTCTGCATATTTGTAAATGCCATAGTTGCCACACTTTTTTGATGTCACATCAAATGGCTTGATCATTTACTAATGAAACACAGCCTTGAAAACAGCTATAAAGAAAGTTTAAATATTCGATGACGAGGAACCCACTTTGAGACTAATAATGGTTGGAGACGGCTTGAATGGGTAATGAAGAAAAACTTTAATATAAGTTTAACATAACAGCAAATGTACAACGTTTCAACAAGGTTTTGTCATCATCAGGTCGAAACGTTGTACATTTGCTGTTATGTTAAACTTATATTAAAGTTTTTCTTCATTATCCATTCAAGCCGTCTCCAACCATTGAAAGTTTAAATATGATTGAATAAAACAAATATTAGTCTTTTCACATCATAATAGAGTAAAGAAAGTGGTTTCAGGCTTTGAGCAGTAGTTTATGGTTTCAATGAGAAGTTGCAATACAGAACTCCTGAAGCATTGACCAAAGGAATTAAATGGGAAGTTTTAAAGAATTAGGATCTGTTTGAAAACTACAGAAATTTTCTTTGATGATAAGAACTTGGATAAGCTTATTTAGGTTTAGTGAGTATGGTAGGTGACACCAAGATATTCTGAAGACTCAGATAGTAATTTATTCAATATAATTTTTATGTTCATCATATTCAAACAAGGTATATACATAAACTGGCTACTTAATTGTTTCTAATTGTGATCATGATATGTTTTAAATAACATTATTACCTATTATCAGTGACAATAAAACACATTTCCATTATCAATTTATTTGATTTGTATGAGATCAATAAGGATAACATAATATTTTTAAAATAAACAAAATGGCGACCTTTTGGCTGTCTCAACATTAGTGATTCACCAAGTAGGAAATGTTAAGTTTATCTTTAAAAACAATTTGTGCTAAATGTTTTTTTGCAAAATAAAAAACATTTTGCAAAATTTACAAATGGAAACTACTAGTGGAAACAATGGTTTTGTCCTATTTGTTTATTTGTGACAAACTCAGTATTAACTGTTGTATTTTATGTATGTATCTGTGCTGAAGGCCATTACCAAATATGCTTGTCTTTTTGGCCAAGGAGGCGTTGTAACGTGATGATTGATCCCACTGTTTGTTGATAAAGAGTTGGTGGTGGGTTGTGTTGATAGCTGCCTTACCTGTAGTTTATCACTTTAAAATTAGGAACAGCTAGTGCAGATAACCCTTGAGTAGCTTTGTGTGAAAGTCAACAAACAAATTAAAATCTCTGTTTAAGAAAACATATTTACTCAAGTATACATTAGAATTCAGTTTACTCAGAAATGTTTATACCTGTAGTATAATATAACAAGTAAAGAAAAAACTTTTCAAATATATGGAAGGAACTGTAGGGATGGCTAATATCAATCTTTCAAAAACAAGTTAGTAGGGATGGCATTTGCATAATCCCTACATAATAGCACGGGCACACAGTGTAAGAAAGCTAAAATTCAAGAAGTAATGATAACATCTTTTACACTAGAATTATGATTTTTTGAAATTACTACTAATTGCTAATAATACTTATAAAAACTGATACTTTGTTTGAGACTATGTTGCCTCAGTGAAATTGGTTGACACCATTGTTTTGGTTTTTGAGTTATCACATAAAAAAAAGCAGAAGAAAGAAGAACAAGAAATTCAGACTTTGCTACGATATTTACAGACATTCCCAGAACTTGTGATTCAGTCATTACGTAGATATTGTTATAAAAGGAAACACTGTTTAATATTGGTAGATATTTATTTTAAAATACCATTTTGATGAACAGTTTGAGCCACCCCTACATAGACAATGCTACTGCATGCCTGAAGAAGAACTTACTGTTGCAGA